AAAGCTCAATAGGTGGCAACTGTGGTGAGCTAGATGTTATGAAAACATTAGCTTCATTTAATCTTTTGTCCTTCTTCGTTAAATCCACTTAATATGTAATACTAATATGGAATCACGAAAATAAGGGACATTTTGGTAGCAGAAAATAAAAATAAGTTTTCTGAATGTCATTAACAATATTAATTTATTATTTTAAATATAACATATTAACATAGCTGCACTGAATTCCTGAACTCGGTCAAGTTGTGATGCTAGGGTCCTGGGTTCAATTCCCGGCCAAGGAATGTATTATTAGTTTTATTAGTTTACTTATTAGTTAAATATTAAAAAAAATAATTAATAACACTGAATGAACATTAATGAGTTAGCAAAATGTGAATATTGTAAATGGCAGGAGTAAAAAACAGTTCTACCAGTTGTTCAGAGAGAATAAGAATTTAATGATGCCTTTAAACAGAACAACTGAGGTTTGCTTTTATAAAACTAATCATTAAAGCCACTATGTATAATGATTTTTAACAAGTAAAATTTAAAATAAGAAAGTGGTATTAAAAAGAAAATAAACTTTTAAGATTAGCAATGTTATGCAACAATCTCCCTCCTCCCCTTTCTTACCGACTTTGATCGGAGAAGATGAGAAAAAAGAAGTCTAAGAAGAAGTCAACAAAGATGAAGGCAAAGATGATGAAGATGAAGAACAAAACAAGAAGAACAAAAATATCCTATCATTCATGCGCAGATGACTGTAGTCCACAGCTGTGGCATTAACAGCTACCATTCCACTTCCAAATACACTTGATATGCATCAGTTGCATCCATATAAACTGCAGTAATAATAAGAGAGACAAGGAGGGGAGTTCACTGTTGTTAGCCATAGCAATAGTGAAATATAATGTGTTTTTTTAAAGCCACTTATATTTTTACAACTTAATAAATATATCTTAAATAAACTCTTTCCCTAATAATAAAATCGAATATGTATACTATATTGACATGTTATATTATTTTATTATATAACTCTGTTAAATATTCACTTTACATTCACAATCTCTTAAGCTCTTAGCAGCTGGCTGCCTAGCACATAAAAATGTTTTAAAAAAGAATCATGCAAGTGAAACTTGAAATAATTTGCTACATTTGTGGATATTACGCAGACCGTTTTGTTTCCATTAGGTGTTGCAATGATTACTGACCAAAACATTTCAAAATCTCTGACATGCTACAAATTGTTGATGTGAAAGCTGCACAGATTGAACTGTGAATGTAAGGCTTTGAAATGAAATGTTAGGAAGGGGTGATAGGGATAGGGTGATTTGGTATCCCTTGATATTACAATGGATTATTTAAATGCATGTCTCTATTTTTCAGTTTCTATTTACAGTACGTACTTTATGTAGCTAATTTGTAACATGCAGTATAAACGTAAAACAAAACATTATAATTAACGAGGTATTCATGTCTGCAATATCAATGTGACCACAAGAATTGCTGTTTTAGCCTTAAAACAGGGAAATTGATTTTATTTTTTGCTTTTTTAATTTCCTTCCGTTCCTTCCGTTATTGTTGGTTTTTTCCTTTAGGGGTTTTCTTTAATCAAGAAAGGTTGAATCCAATACTCATACACGATGTATACAGTAATTAGAACCAATTTTGAGTTTGTGTTATTCACTTTTATATTGTCATATGCAGGTATTTCACATAAATAACTGCTAAATGGTAATTCTTACAGTATGAGCTGATAATGGTGCAAAAATAAAAAGTTAAGCTTTGGTCATTGATATTACCATATTTGCATAAAATCTGTTAAAAATAAGGAATAGCAGTCTATTTCTGGCCTGTCATTGGGTTGAAAGAAAACAAAAGTACAGGATAAAGAAATGCGCAGTTCTGACACACACACAACCTGTAATTTTAAGGTTAATTTTACAAAGCTTAAAACACGAGATATAAGATAACACAGGGGTTCTGTTTTCCTGATGTCTAATTTAGTGACAAAGTAAAAAGAACAAGTAAAAGTCTGTAGTGGCAAACTAACTTTGAGCTGCAAAAGCCCCAAGAGTTCATTCTAACATTACTGTATACTGTATATGAACTGATCATTTAAAACACAACAAATACATTACAACATGTTCTCTAATACAGCTTTTTATTTTAACAACAGTCTTACTGCTAAATTAGTGATATCTTTTCACCTTGTGTGATAATGTGTTATCATGAACATTTCCAAATCCATTACTGAATTCATCTACAGTTTCTAGTTCATTTTTTTGCATTTTCTACCTACAGTAGGTGAAAAACTCCCAAACGCTTTTATCTATTGTCACTATCACACATGCAGAAGGAATTCACATGGGACCCCCTTTTTGAATGTTTTTTTTATTTTCTAATATTAATTTAATATTTAACACATTGTGATATCTAAAATCAATAAAAATGTCAATATAAAATGAAATTCAAGATTACCCCCATGGGGCTTGTCATTGGCGAGGATTCGAACCTTGCCGTTCGACAGGCAAGAATTCTTCTACTGAACAAGCAATCTCTCAAACTGATGAGGTATTCTGGTTTCTCATATTGTATACATCTTTCACCTTTTACAGTATGCAACCATTCTAAGTCATCCTTTGAGTCATTCAAAACTACTGAGCTCTTTTGATATGATGTGTTTTTCAAGCCACTATTTATAACATGTTTTACAAACAAAATCTAAAATAAAATGATCATAAA